ATGGTGACAGGAGCAGCATTGTAGCAGTATCAGTATGGTGACAGTAGCAGCATTGTAGCAGCATCAGTATGGTGACAGGAGCAGCATTGTAGCAGCATCAGTATGATGACAGTAGCATCTGTCAAGTGGATGACATTTTTTTTTTCACCGCCAGGCCAAGAGCTGTAGCATCAGATCGTGTATCACACTGCACGTATCACCATCGAGCTATCATTATCTTTTACGCAAGTAGAAGCGACGATTGTGCGTTGAAGAAATAGTGTTAAATTATGCGTCCATTTCACTCTCTAATGACCACGGCGCTGAGGACATTTCCCTCTGAGGGAGGGAACATTCCAGAGAGAGAGGGACATTTCCCTCTTCCAACTGAGGGAGGCAAAAACTATTTGAAGAGGAGAATCTATATTAAAATATGATCCGAAATCTCCGTGCGACACACCTTATTTCTACCCCATCTTCCGAAATCTCCTTGCGCGACACATTACTTCTACCCCATTTTCCTGAATATCTATCCCGATTCCCCACACTTTATTTCTACCCCATTTTCCGGAATCTCCCTGCCCGACACTATATTTCTACCCCATTTCCCTCCTCCCCGCAAGGACACTTACCCTGAGGACTGAGAGGGGGAGGCCAACATCCACACCCCCCTGCAGCCGGAACCCCCACGGCTGGTCGTGGCCGTCACGTTCTAGCGTCACTGTGTTGCTCATTATTTACTTTATTTTTTTCTTGCTAAAATAATAATTCGAGCCCTGGCTCCACTCCGCGGTTTACGCTTACGCTGTTTTCTCGTAACTCTAAGGACCAAGCTATATATATTCACGTGTCTTTTCTCGGAGGTGATAAATACACTGGAATCTCAACAAAAGTTTTCTTTCGTAGGAAGTTTCTTTTTCTCAAAATTCGTAATTTGAAAACAGATAATATTTCACACCGTCAGCTAAGTGCACCTCAGACCACGCGCGCGCACTGGATTATGTTCACTGAAAAAGTCCTTAGCTTGAGTACTTAAAATCTTTCACCTGAAAAAAACGTAAAAATTACAATGTTTTTGGCCGTGGTTTTTGGTTTTTGTGACAAGATGCTGGACGTTTCTCTTCAAACGAACGCGTCTGACTTGAAAAATGTGCCTGACGTGCAAATGAGTGTCTGACTTGAACGAACGTGTCTTACTATAGCGAACGTGTCTGACTGGAGCGAACGTGTCTGACTTGAAAAATGTACCTGACTTGCAAATGAGTGTCTGACTTGACCGAACGTGTCTGACTTGACCGAACGTGTGACTTGAACGAACGTGTCTGACTGGAACGAACGTGTGACTTGAACGAACGTGTGACTTCATTCAAATCAAACGAATGCGTTTGATTTGAATGAACTTGTCTGCCTTGAACATAAGCATCTGTCTTGTGGGACCTGAGTGGACGTGGCTTATTGGGTAGACTTCGTAAGCCCGACGATGTCGTAAGCCCGACGATGTCGTAAGTTACAGACACACAAGTGGCTTATTGGGTAGATGTCGTAAGCCTGACGATGTCGTAAGTCACAGACACACAAATGGCTTATTGGGTAGATGTCGTAAGCCTTATGATGTCGTAAGTTACAGACACACAAGTGGCTTATTGGGTAGATGTCGTAAGCCTTATGATGCCGTAAGTTACAGACACACAAGTGGCTTATTGGGTAGATTTCGTAAGCCTTACGATGTCGTAAGTCACAGACACACAAATGGCTTATTGGGTAGATGTCGTAAGCCTTACGATGGCGTAAGTTACAGAAACACAAGTGACTTATTGGGTGGACGTCGTAAGCCTGACGATGTAGTAAGTCACAGACACACAAGTGGCTTATTGGGTAGATGTCGTAAGCCTTACGATGTCGTAAGTTATAGACACACAAGTGGCTTATTGGGTGAACGTCGTAAGCCTTACGATGTCGTAAATTACAGACACACAAGTGGCTTATTGGGTGGAAATCGTAAGTCTGACGATGTCGTAAATTACAGACACACAAGTGGCTTATTGGGTGGACGTCGTAAGCCTTATGATGTCGTAAGTCACAGACACACAAATTGCTTATTTGTAGATGTCGTAAGCCTTACGATGTCGTAAGTAATAGACACACAAGTGGCTTTTTGGGTGAACGTCGTAAGCCTGACGATATCGTAAGTCACAGACACTCAACTGGCTTATTGAGAGGACGTCGTAAGCCTTACGATGTCGCAAGATAACGCACGGATAGCCTTTTGAAAGGACGTCGTAAGCCTTACGATGTCGCAAGATGACGCACGGATGGCTTATTGTAAGGACGTCGTAAGCCTTACGATGTCTCAAGTTGACGCACGGATGGCTTATTGAGAGGACGTCGTAAGCCTTACGATGTCTCAAGTTGACGCACGG